GATTTGGAATTTCAAAACTAATACAAATAAATACACGTTCTGTTTGTAGGTTATTTAAACATATTAGCAATAATCTAGACTACCAAGGACAAGTGGTAGCTATAACTAAACACACAAACATCTTTTGAATCAGCACCCGACGTCACCAGCAGCTCCGCTCCAAAATATGCACGGAACGTGCAGAAGTACAGTATCAGTACAACTGACCCCATGTACCGGTAAGTATTTTGTCTAACCTCGTCAAAGTAGTGATGAGGTTTTTAGTTAAAAAGATGCTTATTGCTATAACCTGTACAATAAATTAACAGTAAAGTAGTTCAAAGTATAACTGATAAAATTATCATATACAACTCGGCGAGACAGTCAATAATTACTAAAAAGGGACCACAGTAAAATATTTACGATCTTTCTTGGTATGAGAAGTATGTCCAAAATGTCAAATGTCAAATCGCATGGCACGATAACACCCTTCGTGCTTTTATCTCATCATCGCCACGTATAGAGAAATTTATATAACAATTTAATTAGCATAGCAACATCCTTCGTGCGTTCAACCCATCCTTCCAAATGTACGTATAATAGAACCAACCATATGGAAGAAGCTAAATAACATGAATTACAAGGTAGGAAATATGCAAACAACAACAATGGACAAGGATGTACATATGGGAAACATTAAAGGGCTAAACAGAAAACACGTGAGTATTAACAACAATTGGAAAGAAAGGGATATCAACGTCAATTAACTAGTATATTGAAGGCCTAAGTACAAATATGACAACTAAGAAGGAAACACATGATCTTTACAAGTTAACATGTAAGGGAATGGATGACAAGTATGATGGAATGCTTAAACTAGAGTGCAATGGAATAGGTTTGGCATGAGTATAGTTTCAGCAACAGGAAATAGGCACGGCATATGCAAGTTAAGTAAGTAAAAGACATGGACAACACAACAACAATGGAGATAAAGGTCAAGTATGTGACAATAACAACACATCATTCAAAATATATAATTGCGACAATAATAGCTCAACGTAAAGACGAAAATATATACACAGAAGTAGATATCACATCATAATGCATGTCCCTCATCTTCACCTACATGGAAACACCCATCGTTCCATGACTTCACAGTATTAAAAGCATAACAATATAAATGAAAGGGCACGACATCACCCTTCGTGCTTTACACTCTTGCTCACATGATAACTAATATAAAATGATATTGATCATGAAAGGGCACGACATCACCCTTCGTGCTTTACACTCTTCCTCACATGATAATGAATATAAAAAGATAAAGATCATAAAATGGAACGATATCACCTTTCGTGCTTTACACTCTTCCTTACCAAACTTATGAATATCAATAAAATGACAAGGCAATAAGTAATAATAACATCGAGGAGCGTGTTCAACGAATATTCCAAACAAATTCTCAATCTCAGCTTTACAAGACAATAATGATTCAACGAACCCTCAAGGACCATATAATTCGAGTACTCCCACAAATCACACAATTTATCAACAACACAAGTATGGAATCTAGCATATCGAAATATCGGCCGTAGCAATGTAGAAATAATTTTGTATAGGAATGACCGAACTAAATACATCAATGTATTCTAAGAATTCTATCAAGTTTGATCAAGTAATATTAGGCTAAGTCTTGATTACTAACATTTTATACCACGTTCTTTGTATCGGTAAATTTAGTGAGGCATAAAGCAAGGAAGTTAGTTAATTCTACAAGACATAATTATAGCACAACATACCCTCCGAGCATGATTAACCCCGGCACATACATATACGCTCGTCACCTCATATATGTATCACCCACGCATGTGAGAAACAATGACAAATTGGAGGAAAAATTTCCTCAACAAAGTTAGGCAAAACATTTACCTCAATTCGGCTACTCAACACTCAACTTAGCCTTTTCCTCTACAAATTCGCCTCTGCTCGACTGAATCTAGCCATCAACGACTTGAATACATCACACAATACAAGAGAAAACAATTTCGATAAATAAAGTTGTGATTTTTATTAGATTTCCCAAAAGTCAACAAAAGTCAAAACCCGGGCTTGCCCGGTCAAAACCCGGGTCCAATGGTAGGTCTTGACTACCCATAGCTTCACGAGTCCAAATATGTATTTTGTTTTCAGATCCGAGTCACATTCTACTCACAAATCCTAATGTAACACTCCACAAATTTATAAAAGTTTCGAGACACGCTAACTATAGAACTAAATTATTACTATTTTATTATTTTTATCTTGCCTATGGTGATATATATATACAATTAGAAAAATATTAATAATTTTAATATTGTTAATTATTAAAAATGGGTATCATTAAATACTAGTTAAATCGAAAAAAGGAAAACAAATAATTGTAAAAAAACAAACGTGAGCCTTAAGCCCATAAAACGCTCTTTGCAGTAAAGGCATGAAAGCCTTAGCCAAAAGACAAGGGCTGTGAAAAGGTTTAAACAAAAGGAGATTCTCAAAACAGAACACTTCACGTTCTGTTACTAAAGCAGAGGCAGCCACGATATTGCACCCAAAGTTCTAAGGTTCTTTACAAATCACTAATTCTTGAACTCAGGTATGTAAAAATTCCCTATGGTCAATTACCTTACAGTAGTAATAGGTAAGAATTGAATAGTTAATTCCCTTATCCCTCTATATCAACAATAAATTTCATGTTTAGGTGTAAAACTTTGAAATTAATTAAAATGCACTGGTTTGTAGAATCAATTATTTGACGGGTATAAATTGGACTGGGATCTATGTATTGGCTCAAGGAGTATTTAGGTGAGTTGATATAACCCTTTACTAAAGTGGTTTAACTCACAAAAGCACGCATACAAGGTGTTTGATAAATTGCTTAAAAGACTTTATATTTACTTAATTGGAGCGAGTGAGTACCTATTAACTTAGAATTGGTCTAGCAAAAGTTTAGATGATTTATTATGATATATGTGTGTAAATTTTCAGATTTTTGTATTATTCTTATATGCAATTTTCATGTTGAAAATTCATAAAAAAGCAAGAATATTTAGAAATAATTTTGAATGTTTATTTCATTCTTATGCCATACCTTACATTTAAGAATTCTAGAATAAGTATGTTTGACAGATTTAGACTTGAAAAGTCACAAGAAGAAGTTTTAGAAAGAAATGATTTTTGGGAGTATCCTTTATTCTGAGAAGGGGTCATTGTCCAAGCTGAGGGTTCTGACCAAGGCGTTGACTTCCTGAAACTACTTGAGCCAAAGTAGGGAGCACACGAGCCGAGGGTCTCGTTGCTGAGAATTTACTTAGCCATGCTAAGATATGATACATGAGCGCTGAGAACCATGAAGCGAGTGGCACCTCATGGATTGGGCCTATTCGATCAGGTTGGGATCGAACCCATGCTGATCACACGGTGACTGAGACAGAATTAAGTTAGGATAGTTGGAACTCCCAAAGTATAAAGAGAAGTAATTTTTTTTTTTTGAAAAAGAAAAGAATTTCTTTTTGAATATTCATAAACTGCTATTATGCTATTATTTTAGAATTGTTCTTAGAGGCTTTATGTTTTCTATACATTTATATTCTTTGCTCGTAAGGTGTATTGTTTTAGAGTTGCGTCCCCTGTTGTTGAGACTCACTGAGTTCAATGGATGGTACTGACGTTCTCTTTTGGGAACCTACGTTGGTCTGTGGTACAACGTAGGAACCGATTTTGTAGGCGAACATGCTACGGGTTAGGACTTCCTTCTCTTCTAGTGCTATTGGTGAGCTCCGCTTTTGTTCGTGGAGTGTTCCTTTGAGTTATCTTTATTTAGTTATTTCTTTGTTTACTTAGAGAACTGGCCAAGAAATCTCATGTCCTGAGCAGTGCGTCAGTTTATCACTAGAGGCTTCATAAACATAGTCGTTGGGTTAAGATTCAGATATTTTTGATAATAACTTAGCAGTAATTCAGTATTTACTACGAATAAAGTTTTAGGGTTGATTTATTTAAACATTTAAAAGTAATCAAAAGTATTTGGCTAGAGTATTGCCTTGTTGCACATAAGGTTTGGAGTTACAATAGATTTGATAAGCAGAGATGGTTCGCTCGGTCATGTTTAATGATCGAGTGTTGGTCCCAGCTTGTTCAGAAAATTAGTCGTGACAAACTTTGTATTAGAGCCTCGGGTTTATGGAGTCCTAGGGGTCTTTGAAGCCGTGTTAGTAGAGACTTATTTATGTGTATGAAAGGCGCCATACTTATAAACAGGAGGCTACAAACATTTAGGAAAAATCTCATGTTTTCATACTTTAGATTGTGCAGTAGATTCTACCTCTAAGAAATTATGTAATGTATTCATTTCTCCAAAACTCGCAGAAATGGCTCGTACTTGCAACTCTGACACTGACACTTAGGATGTTGCTCAAGAAACTATTGCTACTATTGTGGCTCAAGGAAGAACTAAGAAGGTTTTAACTCCGAAAAGGAAGGGTAGATCCACAAAAGGGGTCCAAGTACCCCGAGTTGAACATGAAGAAGGGGTGAATAATGATGAGCAAGTACCTCAAGATCCAGTGCCTCCCCCAACAACATCTCCGGCTCAAGCAACTATATCTCCCCAGGTGGGTCAGATGTTTAATGTTGTCAATAGTGCTATGGAGATGTTTAAAGCCTCTATGGCCAACCAGAACGAGAGAAGAGATTAGATTCCACCTCAATCAAATAGACAGAACAATTTTGAGTCCTCAAGAGTGAATGAAATTTTGAAGTGGAGTCCTCCAGTGTTCCATGGTTCTATAGTTGATGAAGATCCAATGTTTTGGCTGGAGGGTGTCAAGAAAGCCCTCTGAGTGATGAAAGCATTTGATGATGAAGATGTGGAGTTGGTTGCTTACTAGCTTAGAGATGTGGTTGGCTCTTGGTTTGAGATGTGGGAAAAGGAAAGAGATGAAGATGATGGTCCGCCTACTTAGGAAGAATTTGAAGAGGCCTTCATGATTAACTTTATCCCAGAAGAGGATAGGGAAGCTAAGGCTACAGAGTTTGAAAAACTCAAGAAAGGGAATAAAAGTATGCAAGAGTACTACATAGAATTCATAAGGTTGGCTAAGCATGCTCCTCACATGGTTAAGACAGAAAAAGCAAAGATTCGCAGGTTTGTTGGCGGTTTAGCTTACTACATTAAGGATACGACATCAGCTGCAGCAGTAGGGATGACAACCTTCTTCTCTGTTGTGGGATTTTCCAAGCACTTAGAAAAAGACAGACAACAAAAGAGAGAAGAAAAAGAGCATAACAAGAAAGCCTGGACAGTGGGCAGGTTTAATGGTACATCCAGTGGAGGTGGAAGGGATTCCTCTACTAAGAAGTCATTAGCACCAGTTCAGTCTAGTCATCAGTCAGGTGGTGGTTCTTCCTTCAGACGTACTCAGAGTTATGGAATCAGTCTCTTTAGAATAAGAATTTTAGGACATCATCCTCACATAGGCAAGGCAGGCTGAGCAACATTCACACCAACAAGGTCTTTTTGGAACATGTAAGCGGCAACATTCAGGTCGGTGCAAGCTCGGGTTTCATGGTTGCTATCATTGTGGAGACATTGGTCATATAAAGGTCAACTGCCCAAAGTTGTGACATAATTTCAGTGGTGGATCAACTCGTCCTTCTAGTTCCTCAGCTACTGCAATTGCACCACCCCAGGCTCGTGGTTCTCATAATCAGGCCGGGCATGGGGCAGGCAGAGGTGCAGATCGAGTCACTCAGGGAGGGGGACAACCCCATTTGTTTGCTACACTTGATCGCCAGAGTCTATATAGGTTGTATAGTTTCAGTCCAAGGTCGCATCACCAAATCTGATCTCATAGATTTAGAAATGGTGGATTTTGATGTGATCATGAGTATGGATTGGTTGTCTTCCTTCTATTCCATGTTAGATTGTCATGCCAAGATAGTGAAGTTCCAATTTTCAAATGAAGAAGTCTTAAAGTGGAAGGGTAGTCCAGCATTGCTTGTAGTTAAGTTTATTTCTTACCTTAAGGCACGAAGAATGATCGGTAAGGGGTGTCTCGCCTATTTGGCTCACACCATTAATCCAGAATCAGAACCACCAGCTATTCAGTTAGTGCCAGTTGTTAGAGAATTTCCAGATGTTTTCCCAGATGACCTTTCTGAACTTCCTCCTGAAAGAATCATAGACTTTGGCATTGATCTCATGCCAAGCACTCAGCCCATATCTATATCTCCTTATATGATGGCACCAACAGAACTTAATGAGTTAAGAGAACAGTTGAAAGACCTTCTTGACAAGGGCTTCATCAGACCGAGTGTTTCACCATGGGGTGCCCCAGTCCTATTTGTCAAGAAGAATGATGGGTCTCTCAGAATGTGTGTCGACTATCGGTAGTTGAATAAAGATACCATTAAGAACAAGTAGCCACTACCAAGAATTGATGATTTATTTGATCACCTTCAGGGTGCAAAGTACTTTTCAAAAATAGACTTGAGGTCGGGGTACCATCAGTTGAGAATCAGAAAAGAGGATATATCTAAAACAACCTTTAGAACTCGCTACGGGCAATATGAATTTCTAGTGATGTCCTTCAGGTTGACAAATGCTTTAGCCGTACTCATGGACCTCATGAACAGAGTTTTCAAGCCATTCCTGGATATCTTAATTATTGTGTTTATAGACGATATTTTGGTGTACGCTAAGAGCAAGGAAGATCATGCAAAACACCTCAAAATAGCCTTGCAGACCTTGAAGGAGAATGAGCTTTATGCCAAGTTTTTAAAATGTGAGTTCTAGTTGCAGTCAGTGGCATTCTTAGGCCATGTGGTATCTAGTGAAAGAATAAAAGTAGACCCTCAAAAGACAGAATCAGTCAAAAACTGGATAATGCCGACAACGCCAACCGAAATCATAAGTTTCTTGTGGTTAGCTGGCTACTATAGAAGGTTTGTATAGGGGTTTTCCTCACTTGCAGCTCCATTAACTAAGTTGACTCAGAAAGCAGTTAAGTTCCAGTGGTCAGACGCTTGTGAGCAGAGTTTTTAAGAGTTAAAAAAGAGGTTGACCACTGCACCTGTGTTAACCTTGCCGACAGGTTCGGTTGGGTTCACAGTGTATTGAGATGCCTCCAGAGTGGGCCTTGGTGGTGTTCTTATGCAAAATGGAAAAGCTATTGCCTATGCTTCCAGGCAGTTAAAGAATCATGAAAAGAACTACCCCACACACGACTTGGAGCTTATAGTAGTGGTTTTTGCATTAAAAATATGGCGACACTACCTTTATGGCAAGCATTCTGAAGTGTTTACAGATCACAAAAGCTTCAAGTACATTTTCAAGCAAAAAAACTAAATTTGAGACAGAGAAGGTGGCTCGAGCTATTTAAAGATTATGACATCAATATCCTTTATCACCCGAGCAAAGCTAATGTGGTAGCAGATGCATTTAGTAGGAAGTCAATGGGTATCTTGGCCCATCTTGCAGTACAAAGGCGATCTTTGGGTCGAGAAATTCAAAAACTAGCAAATGATGGAATTAGATTGGATGAGACCGAAGAAGGAGATATAACTGCTTAGGCCTTAGTGCAATCCTCCCTTGTTGCGCATGTTAAGGCTAAGCAAGACGAAGATCCTTACTTAGTGAAATTAAAAGAAGGAGTCAGAAGCAAAGAAATCACTATTTTCACTCTAGGAAGTGACGGAGTTTTGAAGTTGAATGATCGGTTATGTGTGCCTGATGTAGATGGTCTGAGGAAGGCCGTAATGGAGGAAGCTCACAGTTCAATGTACTCTATCCACCCAAGTGCTACAAAAATGTATCTAGATTTGAAGAGTTGTATTGGTAGAAAGGCATGAAGAAACAAGCAGCAGATCATATGGTTAAATGTTTAAATTGCCAGCAAGTCAAAGTCGAGCATCAGAGGCCTGGTGGCCTAGCTCATGATATAAAGATACCATATTGGAAGTGGGAGATGATTAATATAAATTTCGTAGTAGGTCTACCTCGCACGTACCGTAAACATGATTTAATTTGGCTTATTGTAGACCGACTGACAAAGTCCATGCATTTTCTACCAGTAAATACGATAGATTCCGCAGAGCAGTATGCGCAGTTGTACATTAAAGAAATAGTATGATATCATGGTACTCCAGTTTCAATCATATCTGACAGAGGCCCTCAGTTCACGGCGCATTTTTGGCAGGCATTTCAAAAAAGATTAGGTACCAAGGTCAATTTAAGCACTGCTTTCCATCCACAGACCGATGGCCTGGCAGAAAGGACCATTCAGACTCTCGAAGATATGTTGCGTGCGTGTGTTAAAGATTTTGGAGGTAATTGGGATGATCACTTGCCACTTATAGAAGTTGCTTACAATAATAACTATCAGGACAGCATTGGTATGGCTCCTTATAAAGCGTTGAATAGGCGGAGATGTAGGTCTCCAGTAAGTTGGTTTGAACCAACAAAGGTGTCGTTGATTGGTCCAGAGTTTGTTTGTGAGACCTTGGAGAAGGTTCAGCTAATTAGAGAAAGACTTAAAGCGGCTCAGAGTCGTCAAAAGTTTTATTCTGACAAGAGGCATCGTGAGTAAGAGTTCATGGTTGGTGATAAGGAATTTTTGAAAGTTTCACCAATGAAAGGAGTTTTGAGGTTTGGTAAGAAAGGGAAACTTAGCCCTAGATTTATCGGACCTTATGAAATTCTAGAAAAGAAAGGAAACGTGGCTTATAAGCTAGCGCTACACGTTGAGTTGTCCTCTGTTCATCCTGTCTTTCATGTGTTTATGCTTAGAAAGCACATTCATGATGAGTCGCATATAATACCTGCCGATACCATAGAAATTAATGAAGGCTTGACTTATGAAGAGGTACCTATAGAAATTCTCGATAGGCAAGTAAGAAAGTTGAGAACAAAAGATTTAGCATCGGTAAAAGTTTTGTGGAGTAATCATGATTCAAAAGAAGCTACATGGGAGGTCGAGGAAGATATGAGAAAGAAATATCCATATTTATTTGAGAAAAAAGGTATGTGAACCATAATTTGGGTTGACATTTATACTTCATTTATTAAATACAAGTTAGCAAGTGTTTCTGTCCTTCCAAGATTATACTTAGTTGTTGTAGTAATTTAGTTATGCCGTAGTATATTTAATTTACTGAAGTAATTTACTTGTGCTAAAGTTGTTGTGCTTTAGATTCTTGTTAGTTATTATGGTACCTCCTTGCTGGAGTGTGAGTAATTAATTTATGAGCTGTGTATGGTGCCTATGAATGGCCTGTTATGGTATATTTGGTTGTTGTTGATGTAGTTGTGGTATTTGTGACAGAGATAGTTTTTGGATAGTCCAATTTACAAGGGAAACTCTGCCGATATTTTTGAAAATTTAGGGAGTTAGCCAAAATTTTGAGTCACTTGGAAGAATAAGTAGCGCTAAGAAAACTNATATATAATTGAATATACAATTAAAAAATCTTAAAAATTTTAATATTGTTAATTATTAAAAGTGGGTATCATTAAATACTAGTTAAGTCAAAAAAAGGAAAACAAATAATTGTAAAAAAAACATAAGCCTTAAGCCCATAAAGGGCTCTTGGAAGTAAAGGCTTGAAAGCCTTAGCCAAAAGACAAGGGCTGTGAAAAAGTTTAAACAAAAGGAGATTCTCAAAACAGAACACTTCACTTTCTGTTACTAACACAGAGGCAGCCACGAAATTGCACCCAAAGTTCTAAAGTTCTTTACAAATCACTAATTCTTGAACTTAGGTATGTAAAAATTTCCTATGGTCAATAACCCTACAGTAGTAATAGGTAAGAATTGAATAGTTAATTCCCTTATTCCTCTATATCAACAATAAATTTCATGTTTAGATGTAAAACTTTAAAATTAATTAAAATGCACTGGTTTGTAGAATCAATTATTTGACGGGTATAAATTGAACTGGGGTGTAAGTATTGGCTCAAGGAGTATTGAGGTGAGTCAATATAACCCTTTACTAAAGTGGTTTAACTCACAAAAGTACGCATATAAGGTGTTTGATAAATTGCTTAAAAGACTTTATATTTACTTATTTGGAGCGAGTGAGTACCTATTAACTTAGAATTGTTCTAGCAAAAGTTTAGATGATTTATTATGATATATGTGTGTAAATTTTTAGATTTTTGTATTATTCTTATATGCCATTTTCATGTTAAAAATTCATGAAAAAGAAAGAATATTTAGAAATAATTTTGAATGTTTATTTCATTCTTATGCCATACCTTACATTTAAGAATTCTAGAATAAGTATGTTTGAAATATTTAGACTTAAAATGTCACAAGAAGAAGTTTTAGAACGAAAAGATTTTTGGGAGTATCCTTTATTCTGCGAAGGGGTCAGCATCCAGGCCGAGGGTCCTGACCAAGGCATTGACTTCCTGAAACTACTTGTGCCAAAGTAGGGAGCACACGAGCCGAGGGTCTCGTTGCTAAGAATTTGCTTAGACATGCTAAGATATGATACATGAGCATTGAGAACCATGAAGCGAGTGGCACCTCGTGGATTGGGCATATTCGATCAAGTTGGGATCGAACTCGTGCCGATCACACGGTGACTGATACAGAATTAAGTCAGGATAGATGGAACTCCCAAAGTATAATGAGAAGTAATTTATTTTTAGAAAAAGAAAAGAATTTCTTTTAGAATATTTATAAACTGTTATTATGCTATTATTTTAGAATTGTTCTTAGAGGCTTTATGTTTTCTATGCATTTATATTCTTTGCTCGTAAGGTGTATTGTATTAAAGTTGCATCCCCTATTATTGAGACTCATTGAGTACAATGGATGATACTGATGTTCTCTTTTGGTAACCTACGTTGGTCTACGGTACAACGTAGGAACCGGTTTTGTAGGCGAGCAGGCTACGTGTTAGGACTTCCTTCTCTTCCAGTGCTATTGGTGAGCTCCGCTTTTGTTCGTGGAGTGTTCCTTTGAGTCATATTTATTTAGTTATTTCTTTTTTTACTCAGAGAACTGACCATGAAATCTCATGTCCTGAGCAGTGCGTCAGTTTATCAGTAGAGGCTTCATAGACATAGTCGTTGGGTTAAGATTCAGATATTTTTGATAATAACTTAGCAGTAATTCAGTAGTTACTACGAATAATGTTTTGGAGTTGATTTATTTAAATATTTAAAAGTAATCAAAAGTATTTGGTTAGAGTATTGCCTTGTTGCATATAAGGTTTGGACTTATAATAGATTTGATAAGCAGAGATGGTTCATTCAGACATGTATAGTGATCAGGTGACGGTCCTGGCTTGTTCAGAAAATGAGTCGTGACACCTAAATCTTCATTTTTCAAAACTTTGAAAAATCCCCAAATTTTTCCATAGACTTCTCATGAATTTGATGTTAAATCTTGTATAAAATCATAAAATATAGCTGGAAATTGATTAAAGATACTTAACGAATGTTTTGGTATGAAAATCTCCTCTCAAAATCGCCTCACCTCGAAGCTAGAGTTCAAAAATATGAAAAATGAAGCAAAAACTCAGAAATTTCAGCACTTAACATGTTGCAGATGTCGATTTACGATAGGGTCCTTGCAAATGCGAACTAGAAGGCTTACTGCTTAGGTCGCATTTGCGACCAATACATCGCAAATGCGATGTTACTAGTACCAGCAATCAAAACTATGAAAAATCATTCTGAAACTCACCCGAGCCCTCGGGGCTCAAAACCAAATATGCACACAAGTCTAAAAACACAACACGAACTCACTTGCGCACTCAAATCATCAAAATAACTTATAAACCACAAATCGGACGCCAAAACGCATGAAAATCAAACTAAACTTCAAGAACTTCTAGAATCGCAACCGAGCCTCCGAACCATATCAAATCACATCCGATTGACTTAAAATTTTGCACACAAGTCACATTTGTCATTACGAACCTTTTTCAACTTCCAGAATCGGAATTTGACCCCGATATCAAAATGTCCACTCCCGGTCAAACTTTCCAAAAATCCAACTTTCGCTATTTCAAGACTAATTCGACTACGAACCTCAAAATTACAATTCGGACACTATCCTAAATCAAAAATTACCCAACGGAGATAACGGAACTGATGAAACTCCATTACGAGGTTAAATGTTAAAGTCAAATTTGGTCAACTCTTCCAACTTAAAACTAAAATCTTGAAGTGCATTCTTCCAATTATATTCCAGATTACTTGAAAATCAATACCGATGATTTATGTGCGTCATAATACATTATGCAGAGATACTCGAGCCCTCAAGCTACCGAGTGAAGTGCAGATTCCCAAAACGACCAGTCGGGTCATTACAAGTCCCAAACATAAATGTGCATGGGATCTCCCAGCATACCGTCCCGTAGTCTCAAACGTAAATGTGCAGGGGGTCTTCTAGAATAACGTTCCATAGTCCCAAAGTAAACATGCAACTCAATCAATATAAACAACAATTTCAACAAGAAATCTACAGTTTAGATTAAGTTCATATCAAAGAAGACATGTAGTTTTCACTAAACATGTTGTACAGAGTTAGGTAGGCAGTTAATCCAATTAAGAAAATTAAGGTACGTAGGCATGCTTTCCTAAGCTAAACAGGATAGTTACATATATTAGTGCCGCTCAATTAAAGGAAGACAGATATCTGCTTAATGAAAACGGAGTTTTTCAACAGATAGCTCGTGTACACAATCGTCACCTCACATACATGGTGCTCACATATCAAACAGTACCAAATCCTAAGGGGAGTTACCCCACACAACGTTAGGCAAGCTACTTACCTCGAACCAAGCTCAAATCAATCCAAAATCACGCTCTTGCCACGAGTATCCAACTCCGAGTGGCCCAAATCAAATCAAATCAATTGCATAACATAAATGTAGTTACAAACAACTAATTTAGCTAATGAATCAAAACTAAGGTGAGAAAATAGAAAAAGCCCAAAAATCCTCCTCGGGCACACGTCTCGGAATCGAGTAAAAGTCAGAAATTATGAACACACATTCACTCACGAGTCCACTCGTACCAAAACTATCCAAATCCAATGTCAAAATACCACTCAAAACTCATAAATTCGATTGGGGAACTTTCCCCCCATTTTCCCTACTTTCTTACTCAAAATCCTTGATTAAAAGAAGAAAATAACTATGGATTAATGAAGTTTGATCAAAATAAGATTAGGAATCGTTACCCAATGGTTTCCTCTGAAAAACTCTTGAAAAGTAGCCTTCTTCGAGCTCAAGATCGAATTTTATGGAATGAACACCAAACCCTTGAATTTCTCTTTTTCTGCCAGACAACCCGCACCTGCGGGTCCCTACTTTGCACCTACGAAAAATCCATTGCCGGTGCAGAAATCACTTAAGTGGGCTGGGACCACATTTGCGAGCATTGGGCCGCACCTACAACCCGCTCATGCGGTCCCTCAACCGCTTATGTGCTTCGCTTTTGCGGACTCCTCACCGCATATGTGGACCCAGTTGGGCAGGTCCAATTCTGCTTCTGCGGCTCCTTAGTCGCTTCTACGGCTCACACCTGCGCCCCAAAATGCGCAGGTGCAAAAACACCAGATGCAACACACTTCAGCCAATTGCATAAGTCTCAAACCAATCTTTTAAGCACCCGAAACTCACCCGAGGACCCCGGGACCTCATCCAATCATACCACCCAATCTTAAAACATCATACGAACCTAGTCGAGCCATAAACTTACCTCAAACAATGCTAAAACACAAATCACTCTCCAATCCAAACTTAATGAACTTGAAACTTTAAATTTTCTTAACCGATGCCGAAAACTATCAAACCACATCCGATTGACCGCAAATTTTTTACACAAGTCATATTCAACACTACGGACCTATTTCAACTTTCGGAATCGGATTCCGACCCCAATATTCAACCCCTTAATAAAATGAAGGAATTAATTATTTATTAGTAGAATATAAAAAAATGAGTCAAGAATCCTTACTCAAATATTTTCTTTGAAAATCTCCCAAAATCTTGCCTCAATCCGAGCTATCTAGGTCCAAAAATAGATAATGAAATCAAACCCTCGAACTTAGGCCTTTTTCTGCCTAGTTAAACTGCATATGCAGCCAATTGGCGCTTCTGTGACACTGCACCGGTGGAAAAATCATCGTAGGTGCAGAAAGCACTTAAGTCCCAACATTCTACTTTTGCGGACCAAAGGTGCGCTTTTGCGCATGCACTTATGTGGACAATGTCCGTTTCTGCGATTCGAGGCCTCCCTGGGCATATCCGCTTCTGCAAGATATTTTCCGCATGGGTGTGTCCTCTTCTACGACACATGGACCGCACCTGCGGTCCCAGCTGGTCCTGGCCAAACTTGCTTCTGTGGCTAGAGGGCCGCTCTTGCGGCGCCGCACCTGCGATCCAAAATGCGCAAGTGCGATTGCACCAGATGTAGCAATGCTTCAGCAATGCACCAGGTCCAATTTTTGTTCTGTATCCAATCTAAATCACACCCGGGGCCCTCGAGACCCCGTTCGAATTTACCAAAATGACCATACGGAGCTATTGGAACTAACGAAACTCCATTCCGCAGTCGTCTTCCCACAAGTCAAACTACAGTCAACTCTTAAGACTTAAACTTCAAACTTAGAGACTATGTGTCCCATTTTACTTCAAAACTCTTCCGAACCCGACACCAATCACCCTGGCAAGTCAAGCAACCACAAAAAAGAACTGAGGAAGCAATTAAAGGGGATTAGGGATAATACTTTCAAAACGATCGACCGGGTCATTATAATATTGTGGATGCTATTGTACTTTTATGTAAAGGAGAGATCCTCAATTTATAGAGGTAACAACCTTTTCCTCCAAAAAAGGATCTGTTAACTATGGAAGAGAACTATATTTTCTTTATAGGAAAAATAGAGTCAATTATGGTATAGTCTCTGCTCTTCATTTAAGAAAAGGTAAAATCCGGATATGATAAGAAAATCGGGATAAAATTCTATCAGTGTGTACCACTTCTCCTTCTGCCTTTAATTTTTTAAGTCACATTAGTCCTTACCATTCATAGTATTTTATGGGGCTATACAGTAACTAATCGATTGAAAGCAGAACACTCTGTAAATTACAAGAAACATTAGTGGGAAACATTATAAATGTTATAGTTAAAATTATAATAATGCGAATAGTCAAATTTCTCAAACGGAGCATGTGTATGATTAGCTGATATTTTGGAAGATGAATGTATATAAATTGTTTGATCCTATTAGTAATTAGATGAATGTAGTACTTAGTCTTGTCTTTTTTTTTTTTTTCTTTTCTCAATACTAAATGAAATTATAATTCTTCGACATGATAACATTAATCATAATTAGAGGTAGCAAATGGGTAAGTCGGATATGAGTGGGTCAAAATAGCTAATACAAAAAAGGATAATTATCCGACATGACTCATATTTAATACGGATAAAAAAATGGGTTACCCAACGTATAATATGAATATCCATATTATCTATGACTTATTGAATATGATTACTTTTGGAAGAATTTCTATTCTCTCAAACTTGAGGAACCCCAAATTTGAGGCTCTACAAATGTAAAAGTAAACCTATTGGTTATTCATCGATTATCTATTTTCTATATGAATAATATGATTTTTATCTATATTTGTTTCGGTTTTAAAAAGTTAATTATCCAACTCATTTTTAAATAAACAATATGGATGAATAATTATATTATTTTAATCATTTTGCCACCGCTAATCATAATAACCAACTAGCCAAGCCATTCAGTCAGTATAACGACAAATAATTTCTTGAAATTATTTAGATTATTTCACTTGACACCAAAAATTACAGTACGGATACCAAGAAAAAAACCGCACAATATGATAATACAAACACAATTTAGTACTATTTTCTCACAGTAACTACAATTCTAGTGAATTAGTAGTATTTTTATTCTTTCACACACAAGACAACACATCACTTTTTTATTTACCATACATAAAAAAGGAGAATTCTGACAGCATTTGATGCTTATTTACACTTGTGGTAGCAGTATCAATAACGTCTGAAGATGCTCTTCTTAATGCACATACCCCTCTTGGCCCCCTCTTTCTCTTTGCATTCTTCGTCGCAGTGTTCACTAATAAAGCAATAGCCAGAAAATGTCTTGCTCTTCCTTCGGCAAAGTTTGCCCTCTGTCGCTTGCATCTCTGTAAGGAACAAAAACTTATCATAAGTTTGTTTTTTGGTGAAAATCATTTATTTGAATTAATATATATGAATTTCTTCATAAAATGTCGAAATATATGTATTTTTTTGTTATAAGATAATCATTTCATATTAGCGAGTTCGTATATGAACAGCCTCTATGTACGCAGACCTTACCCCTACCCCGAAGGGTAGAGAGGCTGTTTCCAGGAGACCCTCGGCTCAAAAAAGCAATAGGTGTTGTTGTTGTATATGATTGTGCAAAGGCATACCAAGGTACTAGCTGCCTGTACTACGAAAGGATTATAGCAAGTTAACAACTAGCATTAAATTAATTAATTAATAATGAATTTTTGAAATTTTATGTAATATTGGATTATAGTTTTGGGTCCAAATATTTATAGAGAGACCAACTAGAACTAGCTTGGAATTTGGTTACATATACCATTGGATGAAATGAGAAGGAAGCACAAGAGAAGAGCAAGGAAGGTTGTGTAGCTCAGTACTGACTTTGCCATATTCCTATTTTCGTTGAAGTGATTTATGAGTGGAAACTACTAAGGGAAAAAATTCCAATGATATATTAATGATTTAGTCAAAATATTCAATGAAACTGTTTTATGCAAGTAGTTGGCTATTGAAAGAAGAAATGAGTAGTTTAACATTCCTCATTGCACAAAACTGAGTTTGCACTCTCAAACCAACAACAACAACAATAACAAACCCAGCTTAATCCCATGCGTGGGGTTTGGAGAAAGACAATGTGTATGCAGTCTTATCCTATAAAGGCAAAGAGACTGTTTTCGATAGACCCTTAACTTAAGAAACGATATAAATAAAGCAACAAACAATAACAGGAGTAATATAATAAGATAATGAAAGCGAGTGACATAACAAGTAAGAAATTGAACTANATATATATATATATATATATTTAACTAGTTCATTATACAAGGTATGTTACATCTATAATTTCCCCACACGGTAATGGAATCCTATAGTTCAAGAAAGCTTATTTATTAAGACAATAATTTGAATATAAGCACAATAGCTTTTTTTGGGGAGAAATATTAAAGGGGAGCCTTGGAGCAATAATAAAGTAATTTTCGTATGAGTTAGATCAGATGTTCGAGTCGTAAAATAAACCATTGATTCTTACGTCAGGGTATACTATTTACATTATATCCTCTTAATAGAGACATTATAAATATTGTTCAGATGAAAAATTATAATAGTGTGATTAGTCAAATTTTCCAAATGGAGCATGTGGACTAGCTGATATTTGGGAGTAAAACATATTTAAATTGTTTGATCCTACGACTAATTAGAAGAAGTGAAAAATTTCAATGTACCCAAAACGATATAATTTCAAGGTAATCCTTATCCAAAGAAGCTATGATCACCAAACTGGGAATAAGAATGATATAGAGGGTGTTTGGTTAAGCTTATAAACTGGTCAAACTGGCTTATAGGCACTTTTTGGCTTATCTACGCGTTTGGTAAAATTAAAAGTGCTTATAAGTTAAGTGTTTATAAGCCAAAAATAAGTCAAAAGCCATAAGTTGGTCTCCCCCAACTTATCAAATTTCAGCTTATAAGCACTTTAAGTTTGACCAAAATATTTACTAATTCATCCCTAAAATACTTCTTTTTAAAACAAAACTCTTCGTATATCCAGTTCTTCAGGTGCATATTATTAATTTCAGCACTTTTATCCAAACACATAACTGCTTATTTTTTAAATTAGTCAGCACTTAAAAGTGTTTTTCAGCATCTAATGTTTAGCAGCTACTCTAAATCAGCTAAGCCAAACGGGCTCATAGTTTTTTTTTCTTTTCCTAGTTAGAAGGTTCAAATAGTAAAGCACAGAGTATAACGCCTGTGGGCACGTTCATCCAATAGGATTGCAGTTACAAAAGTAAATAATACGAAAAAAAACTTTTATTTTAGATCGAACATAACGAAAACTGAAAATAAAGCAAAGCTATTTCAACCAGAAAGCTTTTGCAAAATTGGAGGGATTAAAGTTCAGATGATGCATAATACCGTCGATGTTGTATAATTTATAAAAGGTTTAGACGACTTCAACATTTCGACTTGATGTTCATATCCTTTCACATTGTATTAGAGACATTTTTATATTTTGTGTATATACGCTGTATGTAGACAAATATCTGTCCATAAGTGAATCTAAAGGATTAATTGTCACGACCCAATTTCCCCTCATTAGGATGTCTTGATGACACCTAATCTCTAAGATAAAATAAGTCTAACAATGAAAGATTATGATAGAATAAAAGCTAAGACATGATGTACACTAACAATACTCATAAATATATCGATAACTAAAACACAACTACAATACTCCGAAACCTGGTGAGATTTGGTCATAAGCTTCTACAGAATGTTCCAAAACACCTACAACAATACTTTCTAATAAAGGAAACAACAATACTGTCACTACTCAAAATCCTTCTGAAGGAGTCGTGATGGCACCTAGTCTCTAAAACTAGATAAGCCTAACATTAACAGGAATAACGACAATATTTGCTAACATCGAATCATTTCGAAATAGAAATCACTGTACAATTTACAATCTCAAAACTGGTAGTACAAGTCATAAGCTTTTCTAGGAGCAGTTATACATAATGAATACATCACTACTCCTGAACAAAAGGAAACAATTGAAATAAATACAATAGAAGGTGACTTCGGTGCCTGTGAAAGCCCAGCAGGTGTATCTTGAAGTCTCCAGCTACACCAAGCATAAGTCTCAAAACCAACACGATTTGAAGTACCTGGTTCTGCACAAAAAGATGTACAGAAGTGTAGTATGAGTACACCACGGAGGTACCTAGTAAGTATCAAGCCTAACCTCGATAGAGTAGTGACGAGGCTAAGTCAAGACACTACCGAATATATAACCTACAGGATATGACTTAAATCTAACAAATGAGGGCTATCAGAGTAATACCAATAGCAGATGAATATCAAATTTCAAACGGTAGTAACGATAAGAGGAAAACACGCATGACAACGAGAATTAACCAAGTAACTAAACAACAACATAGTTGGGGTCCGGATGAAACATAAATGAGTTCAAGTAGGGAAAACGATGTTAACTCAACCAATTGAATCATTTCTAATACACAATTCCAACAATCCTAATCCTCATAATCTCATATCATAGTCACAACTTCCAAACCTTTAACACACATGGCACCTTGTGCCCACATATTTACTTCTCAGTTTGCACAGGAAATTCAAGTGCTACTCAGTACATAATATCCGTGTCACATGCAATTAAGGTGTCCAAGAGGTTTTTACTTACATAATATAAAGTAATAGTACAGTTTCTAGACCAAGTAGGAAATCAGTGAGAAAGATGGGTTTATTTTAGAAATCATTTGATGAAGAAGAATAACATTTCCAAATAAAATACAACATCGAATAAGATATTAAATTTAACACAAGGTTTATTAAATTAAGACATAATAAAGATTCTTTTTTAAGTGAAATAAAAACCTCACACAGGTTAAGGATATTAGGTTGAGAAATTAATTAAAGTAAAATGTAACAACTATTAGAAATAGTAAATACCAAAATATACAACGAGTCTTAACCTAGAAGTCACACAAGGTAGCATGATATTAATTCTTTTATTTTAAATCACTATATTACTAACAGCTAAGCAAGACAGGAGGTAATAGCTCAACTGTAACGATCCAATCGGTCGTTTTGAGCATTTGTAATTCGCTCTCCAGTTCTCGGGCATGACTAGCCCCTGTATAATGTATTATGACTTGTGTAAATCGTCGGTTGTGGTTTTTAGGTTAATCGGAATAGATATGAAGAATGATTATCAGCTTGAAGCTTTAAATTTGAAAGGTTTGACCCAGTCTTGACTTTTTAGTATTCGATCTTGGATTTGGATTTTTTTGAATTTGTTAGCTCCGTCGGGTGATTTTGGACTTAGGAGCGTGTCCGGAATGGAATTTGGAGATCCGTGGTGGATTTAGGCTTGAATCGACGAAATTAGAAATTTGGCATTTTCAGTCGGCAGTGAAAATCTTGATATCGGGGTCGGAATGGAATTCCAAAAATTGGAGTAGGTGTGTTGTGTCATTTGTGACATGTGTGCAAAATTTCAGGTCATTGGGAGGTGATTTGATAGGTTTCGGCATCGTTTGTGGATTTTGGTAGTTTCTAAATTCTTAAGCCTGAATCCGAGGGTGATTTGATAATTTGATGTTGTTTTGAGTATTCTGAAGGTTAGAATAAGTTTGAATGGTGATATGTGACTTGTTTATATTTTTGGTTGAGGTCCCTGGGGCCTCGGGATGATTTTGGATAGTTGTTGGAAAGGTTGAATTTGAGAAATTGCAGCTGATGTTGCTGCTGCTGTCATATCCGCACCTGCGGATTGGGGCTGTAGGTGCGAGCTCCTAGGAGGGAAGAAAGGTGCAGGTGCGTGTAGGACCACAGGTGTGTCTTGGTAAACCGCATCTGCGGTGTCGCATAAGCGGTGAAGCGATCGCAGATGCGATACCTGGTGAGGTAAGTGAAATCCGCAGAAGTGGACATTTTCTGTAGAAGCGGTAGTGCAGATGCGCTTATGGGATCGCAGGTGCGGAATCCCTAGACAGAGACTATATAAGCATTCCTTCGCGACTTTTGGTCATTCTTCCACCATTTTTGGTCGATTTTGGAGCTCCAAGCTATGATTTCAAGAGGGAATCAAGTGCTTTTAGAGAGGTAAGCTACTTGGGCTTTGTATCTTGTGTTTATGGTGATTATTCCATTGTTTAATCATGAAATATATGGAAAAATTAGAGAGAGAATTTGGGAAATTAGGGCTTTAAAATAAAGAGTTAAATTGGGGATTTGAGGGGCCATTTGAGGTCCGATTTTGATGATCTTGGTATGTATAGACTCGTGGAAGGATAAGGATTCTAGTGTTATAATTTTTATCAAATTCCGAGACGTGGGCTTGGGGATCGTGTTTGGGCAATTTCGGAATTTTGAGTTTAATTTAATAATTTTCATGTGGGCTTTGTCCCTTTGGCATGTATTGATGATATGATTCTGATTTTTGAATAGATTCGAGGTGATTTGAGGCCGAGTCGAGCGTCAACGAAATCGCATTGTAGATGTTCGTCCGGATTGAGGTAACTAATGATTGCAAATCTTGTCCTGAGGGAATAAAGTCCCGGATTTCACTTCGTTTTACTATATTTAGGTAACGAACACACTAGATGACGAGCGTGGGGATGTGCACCATTGGGGATTATCACTTGGTCTGTCCGGTAGGGAAGATTAAGTTGCATATTTAACTGAAAACTATTTGATACTTTTGTGCTTTGGAAAGTATTACTATGTTTTGGGTTGAATGCCATATTTGGGCCTCGTGCCAAGTTGTTTGGACCCTTAAGGGCTTTTCCTTATTATTTCCAAACTATTTTGACTTAAGATCTATACTCAGTCATGTTATGTTTTTATTGATTTTATAACTCAGTAT